GTACAGGGACTGGGAAGCTTGTTAAAGTTGAGGGACGCATGAATTCCAACCAATATCAACAGATTCTGGAGACCAATGTCCAGGAATCAGAATCTACTAAGGCCTTCATGCAGAGGAACAAGTAGAACGTTCTGGAATGACCATCTCAGTCCCCAGACCTGAATATTATTGAAAATCTGTGGTGTCACTTAAAGAGAGCTGTCCATGCTCAGAAACCATCAAAGTGGGAGATGAGAGCTTTCCCAAACCTTAGATTTGGACCATTAATCAGTTCTCGTGCCTGTCTACAGTCAGTCAGCTCCCTCCAGCGGATTGAGTGTTGACATTTAATCCATACCTGTAGGACAGTCCTACAGACTGTTGTTGAGATACCTACAACAGGTTGTGGTCCTTTGAAGTGAGCCTGACTGCCAGCCTTTGCGAGGTAGTCAACTCTCATTACCATAAATATCAGTATGTCCTGGTACCCATCTAACAGTTGGTTGACTGCTTCTGCACAGATTAAAGATTATATTAGGGTAACACTTTATTTGAAGGGGTGTGCATAGGACTGTCATGACACTGTCATAAATACAGTATGACATAACACCTGCCATAAACTTAAATGAGTCCTCATGAATGTTTATAATGTAACTGTTGTCATTAAGTATCTTTTAATAAGTTATGACACTTTTAATGCAAAGTTGACATTGTTTAAAAGGCCTTTGATATGACAACTTGATATTAACCAAGAAATCATAACCTGTTATAAAAGCTTTAAGTATCAACTTTAACATTTTATTACACTGTCATTTGTTGTTAAGTCTTAACTTTCGCTGTCATGAGACCAATATATGTCATTAATATTTTCCTACCTCAAGTAAAGTGGAACATGTTAGACTAGTTATAAAGATGTCTTTAAGTGTCAGTACACTGACAAATGCTTATAAATACTCTAACTTGTCAAGATATTTTTTGTCTTGGTTAATGCCAAGTTGTCATAACAGACATTTCAAACAATGTCAACTTTGCATTAAAAGTGTCATAATTTACCGAATGACACTTAATGACAACAGTTATAAATATTCATGAGGACTCATTTAAGTTCATGACAGGAGTTATGTCATACTGTATTTATGACAGTGTCATGACAGTCTTATGCACACCCCTTCAAATAAAGTGTTACCTATTAGTATAATATCGATTATTTTATTTTACTGCCGATAAGAAGAGATATCTATGTGCTTCAGGCAAATTAAACAACCGGAATTGATTTGTGAAAAATGTGATGTCTTAAGAGGTACAGTTGGATATTCTCACTTGGTGTTGGAGACACCCAAGTTGTCTCATTCGGGGTGATAGCTTAGTGTAGACTGGTTTGGCTCAGGGTCCAGACTGGTCCAGAACTGTCCGCTCCTTGCCTGATCTCCAAGTGATGACCCCACGAAGTTCTGGACAGGATGGCTTGGCTTCCTGTCACACATCCTTGGTCAGCTGGCTTTAGCTTGGCACTGTTTTCCCAGCAGGTTAGCTAGATAGCTTTCTGCAGCATAAAATTAAAGTACCGTATATATTCGAGTATAATAGGTGAAATTTAATTCATAAAATCATGCACAAAGTTGGTGGGTAGTGCTATACTCAGATAAATATTTTTGCTGATGTATTTTAACTGAAATATCAGTCTCATTAACAAAATCCGAGTCCGGAAATGAAACCCCGTCGTAAAAAGCGGTTGAAGCTATCTTACCTCTAAAACTCCTTTGTGCCTCCGAGCAAGATAGTAACAGATCCAAACAGGCAACATGATGTGAAAAAAAGAAAAAAAGGCAGTCCTGCATAACGAACTAATGATATTAATGTGCGACCGGGCTCCTGGAACAACAACAAACACATGGTCGGCTGCAACGGCTGCTGTCTACCGGTGTTCTGTAAAAGTTGGTCTACCTGATTAGAGTTTCCCCACCAGAGGGGGCGCTCACGAGACACAGAGCATGAGATTGTTGTTGATTCTGATGCCTTTATTACAGAGGAGGAATACCAGAAACTTTTAATGATACTGATGATGGTGAGCCTGATTTTGAAGGCTTTGATTCAGCTTCATCCACACTTGTTAGAGCCACACAGCTCTATCTGTTTGTTATATCACACCAGGTAACAAATGAACATTTGATAGATATTGTTATAG